CCAGAACCCGCAGCGGGCGGGCTTTTTTCGCACGGGCCGTTATCGGGCTCACATGTTGGGGGGCCAACCCGGCCCGGATCACCCGAATTGACACCTTTAGCTGTAGGGGTGGTGGAGGTGGAGTGGGTTATATATATATCTTATATATGAATTTTTCCCCAAAAAAAAATTCAGCTTGGGCTCGTTTTGCCAGATTTGTATATTTAAGCACAACACGACTTTTGTAAGTGCGTCACGTACAGAAAAATTGTCTTTTGTTTGTAGAGAGACTCTCAAGTCAGCTTAATTCATTTCGTATTATATATATTGTACGGTCTAAATTTATGCTTCTAATCAAGTTAGCTAAAATTTTATCAATCATATTATATGAACATGAAGAACATAAAGTTTAATATAATGTCATGTGACATTCTATTACAAGACATTCTATTATTGGACAATTTAAAATACGGTCATTTTTTTCATGCAATCATCTACTGCAACATGTAATTATGTCGAACTTTCTGTCAAATCCTTCTGATAAAGTAGCTTTTATCCAAATTTCATATTTGCATTCAGCTCATTTTCATATTTCATGAAAAATCCATTTAAATATTAATTAAAATTTCACTTAATTTAAGCTTTACTAATATAAGAGTCGAGATACTAGAAAATATGTGTTTGATGGATATTATTAAGGAAAAAATATATTTTAAATAGTAATATGATGAGAAATATGTTGTTAAAAAGTAAGGAAAAGTTATTGATGTGATGGAAAATATTATTATATTGAATAATGTGTGGTTGAAAATGAGTTATAAAATAATGTATTTTAAAAGAATGTGTGTCAAACAGTGGTATAAACTTGTTAAACAATGAACTCAAACTTTGTGTGGTTCAATGTTTGAGCTGCAAATAGGATAGTTGGACAAAGAGCCTCTATCCATATCAGTATTTCGCATAGAGGTTATTATCTTGACAATAGTGTGCCTATCCATGATGTTCTGGTTTTAGTCTTGCATGTAGCCAATGCTTCTCCTTGTTTTGACATTTTAGTCGGTGTGGGCATGGTTTCTTTTGATTCATTTCCAAAAAGATTCAGAGTTGAATCAATCATCAATGATGCCAGCACTAGATAGGGAATCCATCCAGTTTCTTATATATATGTTTTTTTAAACCATTTAGACAACAAATTTAGCTTATTTACAAAAATAAAATGCACCCAAGAGGTGACATATATATGCTTAGACACACTCAATTACTTTCGATCGACTCATAGCAATACAAACAAGTTAGTCTACAAAATTAAACTTCATGTAACCAAGACGTACTCATCATAATATATGGTCTTCCTTTGCTGGAACTTTAGTTCAAATCCAGATTAAATTTGAAAATTATAATTTAGATCCTATAGATAAAATCTTACTTAACAAAACGTTTTTGGAAATTTTGATTACGAATTGTTCTTTAACAGGTACTTCATGGAGCAGTTAATTATTTCAAAATTTCCATATATAATTTTGTTGTTAGCATAATATTGGATGATAGAAATTTAGGTTTAAGATAAATTAGAAGATTGAAGGGGCCAAAAATGTGTTATTTACAGTGTAAAATGTAAATCTGTACCTCAAAAAAATGAAATTTAATTTTTCGAATCATTTTTTCATCGAAACTAACTTTGATGTACACACTCATGGAATTAATTAATGATGTAGTAGGAGAATCTTATTTACGATTATCCCCAAATGTGAGAACCGTAAGTATGATTATCTCCAAGTGAGTAAAATAAGACTTCTCAGGATATGAGAACATTTATAATGAACTCTATATAGAGGTAGTAACTTATATAGCAACATTTGTTAGAATAAGAAAATGAAACATCACTTAGTGCAAAAACCATTCCATGCAGTACCATAATTGATCAGTCCAAAGGGGCATGCATATGCGCAAAAACACACACGTATAATCATCTCACGACATCTCAACACACCGAGACGCTCTTATTACAACACGTTCCTTATTCTTACTTATTAATAAATTGGAGCAAATTAATGTTAGAACTGATATATTTCATTTTGTATGGTTAGTGGGAATTGATTGTTACTCATCAGTGGGTATTCAGCGTTAGTAAGCATTGGTGCCATATTATCAATCCCATATTGCTCGTCCATCTGCAAAATAATCGAATAATTTCCAAGTCTATAAACAAATTAATTATGAATTAACTATTGAGGAATTTTCGAATATTCAAAATGATTGTATTACGTACCTTATCTTGTAGATACTCATTAGCTGCCTTCAGTATTCCCTCCTTTGATATCAAGTAATTGACTTAGTTTTACGATCAATTGACATAAAAAAGGAATGTCATCTCAATATATATATGGGCTAACCTTGTTCTTCAGCAACTGGATTTCTTGAAACATAATATCCATCTGGATAAAAATATGATGGCTTTAAAGTTAATAAAGAATCGATGATGATAAAATTGTAATTGATTTGTACTAAAATATTTTTAACAAACAGATTACCTTTGCTGAGCGAACATGGCACATCCATAATTCAAGACGTTTCTCAAGAAAGTTCATTTCATCCAAGGACATTGAACCATTTCCTCCTCCATATATGAATCTACAAAAAGTTCTTAAATTATATTCTGTTAACTGTTTAGATTATCTCAAAAAGAAACTAAAAAATCCCCTACAATTTGTTTATATATAAACAAATTTACCTTATCCCTTTCTGGAGAACATCAATCTCAAGCTTCAACTTGCTAATCTCATCTTTAAGATCCTAAAGAAATTAAGTGGATGACAATCAGCTCTTTTCCAAAAAATAAAGCCTCATTTTAATAATTAAGTACAGCTGATCATGATCGATATTAAACACAATAGTTATTCTGCAAATGGAGGATCATGATCTTCTCTATTAATATTGTGCTTGCAGTAAAAAGTTAATTTCCTTTGAAAAACTAAAACTGAGAATAAGTTATTTATTTCAAAAGCAACCTTAGCTTACTGACAAAATATTACATGGAAAAAGAAATTTATTCAATCACGTTCTCAAAATACAAATAAAATTATTTTAAAAATTAACTTTAAGTTACTTTTGTTCGGAAAAATACAAAAAGGAAATTAGAAACACTACTAGAATTGTATAAATAAAATAATGGAAAGAAACATTACAATAAAAAGAATAACAATAAAATTAGAGGAAATAGTTGTTGAGGTACTAGCGCTATTGAAAGTAACCGAGGCTTTTGTTGCACACACGTTTCCTTGAAACATATTCGTCCCCCCACTGTGGTGCAAGACTGATGACATCCGTCTCTTAGAATACAAAGGTTGAAAGTAATTGATTAACACCTCATCACTACTTTAGGCGAATTAAGAATGCTTACAATTCTATCACCGAGGTTGAACAAAAAATTAAATTATCTAAATTACAAAGAACTAAACTCTTAAAACAAAGAGAAAAGAGAAACTCGGAGTAAAGAAAGCACTCTCAAAAAAAAAATTTTAACGTGTAGAATAAGGAGGATAACACCTCTCCTTATATAGTATTAGGATGAAGGATGTTTCAAATTCTTAGTTAATTTTGTATTTAACACAAATAATGTTACAATAGCCATGAATAAATTTGTAATCACAAATTGATTATGAAATTGAACCAACAACTTTTAATCTTATGCAAACATATTTCACTTTGCGTTTTTGTTTATTTTATCTTTCTTTCTGTTTAATTATGCATTGTGGAAGACAGATAGTTTTCTAATCAGAAAGCCAAAAGACCGAAAGTGGAGGTAGGTGTCACTGGGAGATATATGTAAGACTTATAATATATCTACCATATGTTTTCAAAGTAATTGGTAAAGAAGCTTAGTTAGCTAGTGAATATTGAATAACATCTTGAGATTTTATAAAGCACGATAAAGCAACGCCCATGGAGTTTTGTCTCCAAAAAGTAGGGATCAGAATTCAATAATTTTGGTCAGCTTTCTTGCACAATTGTTAACATATATCCTCATCAAGCAATAATTAAAAATTAAATAGCATCAGATTCTTTATCATGAAAGAATTTCAAACACTTTTTGCATAAATGTATCGTGTTCATATATTCGAATCTATTTCTACTATTCAAGTTGCAGAAAAATATCTTGCTGCAAACTTGATATAGGGTGTCTAGCCTACCATTAACGAGATTCAAGGGAAGATGGAAATTAAACGAGAGAGATATTACTTACTTCAACTTCCTCATCTTTGATAACTTGTTCAGCTTGAGCTGCCCGAATACTTTTCATGTATCTCTCTATCAAACCTTGCATGGTTCTTCCATGATATAAGACATAAAAGAAATCAGTTAGAATGAATAACCCTCATAGAAAATACTTTCAGTATAAATGAAAATTTGAAGTACCCTTTGCTGGCTTGTTCATAGAGCTTTCCGTGGGCGGAGAAAATGAGAACTCCAATTTCAGCATCACACAGCAGAGAGAGCTCCTTAGCCTTCTTGAGAAGCCCTGCACGCCGTTTGCAGAAAGTCACCTGCCTGTACACCGGATTCTCAATCCTCTTCATCTGAATCTTTCCACGAGCCATTGATGGTAATTTTGATGCGATTAATTATGATTTCTACTTGTATATTGTAAGCTTTTAACTAAGTTTGCTGCCTTGCAGACAACCTCCCACTAGTTTGAACTAGCTTCGAGGTCGTTGCTCTCTCTCGCTCCTCAAAAACCTCCTTAAAACCCAGTTATTTTCTAGGATAAAGAGCTAGCAACCTTATATGTACATCCTCAACTTCTCTTGTATTTTGGTCGCATAAAATATCCAAAAAAGCACCATGATTGGAACCCACCACACCTTTAAAGCTTTACACATCACTCAGAATATTTTCGAGATTCTAGGAAATGGGATTTCACAGCATATAACACTGTGACCTACAAATGACCTTAAAAGAAGACGGATTTTGTAATCTAACGACAACACATATCTTTTGATTCTTGAAAAGACTATTATACCGGAGAACCATTACATGGCAGCAAGTAATTGATTGGAGATGGACCAGGTAAGCGAATGCAGCCACTCTCACTTGGTTCTTGTTCTTAATTTGAAGATTAAGTTGTGTACAACAGTTCAGAATCTAGTCAGCATGCTATTGCTTGTCATGTGCAAATTCCTACTCTTGTTGAACAAATGAGCTGCCCTTGTTGGAGCTGCTTTTTCATTACCATTTTTTCCACCTTACTATTTTACCCTTCGAGTAATGCTCTCTATCGCACCTATAATGTCTAATAGAATGCTTCTTAAAATCATTGGTGCTAGTAGCATTATTTTTTTACCATTCTAGCTTTGTCGAGTAGGATATCACACTACCGACCCACATTTCCGTCCTTCTAAGCACGTTTGTTCACTTACTAAAGAGTGTGTTTGGTGCATATTAAAATGAGAGAATGCATTTTTTTGAAGTGATGTAATAGGAAATATGTGGTTGAAAAAGAAGGAAAGGTTATTGATGTGATGGAAAATATTATTTTATTGAAAAATGTGTGGTTAAAAATGAGTAGAAGAATGAAAATGAAAATTTAATGTGGCTCAAAAAGGGGCATAGAATTATTCCAGAATATAAATCAAAATCNAGAGAATGCATTTTTTTGAAGTGATGTAATAGGAAATATGTGGTTGAAAAAGAAGGAAAGGTTATTGATGTGATGGAAAATATTATTTTATTGAAGAATGTGAGGTTGAAAATGAGTAGAAGAATGAGAATGAAAAATAATAATGTGTGTCAAACAGGAGCTTTGTTAGAAAAATAAGTCCTCGTTCGGTTTGGATTAAAATCTCAAGTCAAAGTTAACAATTAATTTTAACCACATATTTTATGTGACCTACAACTTTTCAATGATGCATTTTATCATTTTTTATCAAAATCTACTAAAAAATTGATTTTAATCTATACCAAATAGAGGCTAAATATTGTTATTAGGTTTAAAGGAAATGCATGATGAAATAACACAAGACTACCATTTAACACATAACACCATTGATAAGACAATTAATTTTAACCACATATTTCATTAACTTTTATCAAAATCTACTAAAAATTTAATTTTAATCCCATCAAACACGGGCTAAGTGTAAAATATACACTTATGTGGACCCTTTAACGAGGACTTTCCATTATCATTTCAATTGTTTGAGAGTCGATATATATATATTGGTTTATTTCCGTGTGATATCCCCAATTTGAGTAGCATTGGTGAAATTGATGAGAGAATGAAAAAAGTTGAGATTTTGAAGTGAAGATCAAGAGCCGATCATTAGATGATGAGAAAGGAGAGGAACTTTAGAAGAAACAAGGTCAAGTTTGGTGGTGTTTCGTGCTCTAAATAGTCTATACGCGAGAGAGGAATGGTGAGAGAAAATCAATTGTTTACTATGATGAAAAACCATCTAAAAAGTATCTAAAACTATTAAACTAAAATTAACATAAATAATATTATCTTTGAGTATATGAAAGTTCCATAAAAACCCACAGCAATACTAAGTACAACTGGAAAAGAAACCAAGTCCATTCAAGAAAGAAAAATGAACTTTTAAAGCAAGTATTATTAATTAAAAATCTGAGTTAAAGGTTTAATTTAAGTTATCTTACAAATACTAAACTAAACATGCGCATTGCACTAGCAACCCATCAACTTATAATTAATAACAAAATCAACACCCAAAACATTTTTTTTTATATCACGTCTACTGAATGCAGTTCGTTTCTCTAACAGTCCGCCAAAATTCATACATGTTTCTTTTTAGTGTTAATTAAGCATAGATCCTGACTAAATCGATGAGGTCATATAAGAACAAAATTTAAGAAGTATAGATTATTCATCTACATTAAATTATAACACTTCCACTTAAACAAAGTCGGATAGTTAAATGAAAAATAAAAGCCAAAATGTTAGCTATAGCAGTTTTCAATTCATAGAGCCTTTTGCCATGTTGGTTTTATAGTAATAATGAAATTTCATTAAGTCACTATTTCGTGGGAATTAAAATCATTTTTTTAGTAAATTCTGATAAAAATTGATGAAATGTGAAGTTGAAAAATTGTATGTCTTATCAAGTATGTGGATAAAATTAATTGTTGACTTTGACTTACTATCAAATCAGAACTAAGTAATATTTTTTTAAAAACGCAGGTAAAATAAAAAGCGATATACAATCAATCCATGTACCGAAAGTCAAGATTTAGAACAAAGTGACGAGAATGAGTTCTTACCGATAACTTTATGGACGATATACGATTCAATATTCTTATAATTTAACTCATGAAAAGTTAAGATTATCGTATTAAAAGTTATGAGGTAAAAGTCTTCAACTCGAGTCATCAAAAAGTCGAGCACGAAAAGTTAATATGATTGTTACAAGAATTTACATATGGATAATATGAATATGTTATGAACAAAGAATCAAATTCAATTAAAATTAAATCTTTAGTAGAGACTTTGATAAAACATATGGTTGAAATGGACAAAGCCATTGTTTTGACCTTCATTTTTTAAAGGGATAATTGCAGCTGCGGTCCCAAACCTTTCAGATTTTTGTGCGTTTTACCCTAACCT